CCCTCCTGATGGGACTGTCTGTTGGTGTGTCTCTTGTTACTAAATGTAGATTGCCCCACCAAGGGTCATTATCCAGGGAGGGGGGATTGTCCCCTGAGTGTATATATCTTGTATCTGTATTCAAATAAACTAGTCTACCTCCTGGTTTACTTCAAGACTGGTGTTGTCAAGTCTTGTATGGGCGGCTGTGGTGTCTGTTGTTGGTATTCGGATGGGGAAGCGGTAGTCTAACGGAAGTACTCAGCGCAGTCTGGGTCAGTTCTGTTACAAGGCTGCATAATCCCTGACCTCTGTCTGGACAGTGCTGATTGGCCCTGTGCTGATCACATGCACCCCCCAAAGAAAAAAAAATTCTCACACTAAACTGAGCATGTGCAGCTTGCCCCCAAGGCTCTTTTCTATCAGCAGATGGATTGGGGACAGTAGAAGAAGGGGAGGATCAGAGAAGACAGGATCAAACATCCTTTTTACACAATGCAGAAGATTAACCCCTTAGGTTCCACACTGAGTATAACAAGCATGCTTAACTGCATCTCCAGACTGATTGTACTGTGGGGGGTTCAGGAACACCTTAAGGGAAAGCGAGCTGCTATAGGCGAAGAACACAGAGCCAGCTACAGTGCCTGACCACCAACGTTAGGGGTAGGCATGACAACCAGGGACAAATACCTGTGTGCTCTAACCTCACCTGCATCACCCTGATCCTCACCTGTACAATTCTCCTACCCTCTGAGGAAGGATCCGGATCATCCCCGTCCTCTACCCCTACGACTACCCGTGTACCCAGCAGGTCCAGCACTAGAGAATGGAAATGTTCAGCTTCAGAATCCTTTGGCTGAGGGGTAGATTGTGATGTGGAGGGCCCTGGGCCTGAAATAGCAGATCTAAAGAAGAAAAACGTTGACACCTTCTGATCACAAAGAGAATTCAGAAAGTCTTTTATGACAGATGCAGTCTCTGAGGATCAGAGAAGACAGGATCAAACAGCATTTTGATATAATGCGAAGGATTAACCCCTTAGGTCCCACAGTGAGTATAACAAGCATGCTTTCCTGCATCTACAGACTGATTTCACTGTTGTGGGTTTAGTAACACTTTAAGTGACATTTTTTTTCTATTCTATTCCTTTATTTTCTATTCTATTCATTTATTTCAGGTACTTATATTGCGCCATCAATTTACGCAGCACTTTACATATATATTGTACATTCACATCAGTCCCCGCCCCCGAGGAGCGTACAATCTAAGGTCCCTAACTCACATCCATACGTACACATACTGGGGCCAATGTAGACAGGAACCATTTCACCTCCCAGCATGTCTTTGGAGTGTGGGAGAATCCTTTATTTTCTATTCTATTCTGTTTGATTCTATTAATTTCTATTTTATTCTATTCAGTTTTATTTTATTTCTATTCTATTCCTTTATTTTCTATTCTATTCATTTATTTATTTCAGGTATTTACTATAGCGCCATCAATTTACGCCGCGCTTTACATATATATTGTACCTTTCACATCAGTCCCCGCCCCCGAGGAACGTACAATCTAAGGTCCCTAACTCACATCCATACGTACACATACTGGGGCCAATGTAGACAGGAACCATTTCACCTCCCAGCATGTCTTTGTAGTGTGGGAGAATCCTTTATTTTCTATTCTGTTCCATTCTATTCTGTTTGATTCTATTAATTTCTATTTTATTCTATTCAGTTTTATTTTTTTCTATTCTATTCCTTTATTTTCTATTTATTTATTTCAGGTACTTATATAGCGCCATCAATTTACGCAGCGCTTTACATATATATTGTACATTTACATCAGTCCCCGCCCCCGAGGAGCGTACAACAAGCTAAGGTTCATATATACTAGGGCCAATGTAGACAGGAACCAATTAACCTACCAGCATGTCTTTGGAGTGTGGGAGGAAACCGGAGTACCTAGAGGAAACCCACGCAGGCACAGGGAGAACATGCAAATTCCAGGCAGGTGGTGCCGTGGCATGGGCTCCCCCCCCCCCCCCCGATGTGGCTAAAAGCAGGTTGATTAGGGACTATCAGGTCGAGCCCGTGGGCAGCTAAACAAATGCGTACGACTGCTGACTAACCAATCAGCCGACAGCTCCGGTGTGAATGTTTATGAAGCCATGTGTAGCAGTAATTAGGATTGGGAGAACATAATAAATCTTGCTGCGCAGCTACATTACGGCTGATCATAATAAGGTGCTGAAGCGGCCCTAATAGGAGGAACATATGTTCCCGTCCTATCACTCAGGCAGGTGCACTCTACCCCTCATTTCATTGGTAGAAGTAATATTTATACAACATGAGATGATTTAGCTGCACCGACTGGGCTGAATACTCTATGAGCTCCTTGTATTTAGAGGGATTACTAACGTGGGAAAGGCCTATCTATCAACCTCCGCCGTCCAAATGAGATTCAGAACGGGCGCCATAATACGGGGTGATTTGCAAGCGATTATGCATTGATCTTTCACGTAAAATTAAGACGGGAATCCATTGAGATAGCAGAGACTGCCATGATAATGTGCGACGCAGCGGGGGGGGGGGAGGGGCTACAAACTGCGAGGGAAGATTTGCTTCAACCGCAGAGAATATATTGATGTATTCTGCACATTTCACAACACGCCGGCCTATGCTGCAAAACCAATAACAAAAGTGCACAGCGCATCAGTCCTGCACAACCAATCACATTTCACCTTTCAATGACATGACCCCAGTCGGTTTCTATCTGATTCGAAGCTCGGGGTCATTATACCGCCATAAGCAGGGGGGGCCCCGCTCTGCGCTGAGTGTTGCGGCTGCTCAAAGCTCTGAATTGATAAACGTCATACTAAAGATTGATTTTTTTAAAATAATAAACATGTTATATTTACTTGTTCTAACGAATGGTTTTGTACTGTGTAGCCCCAATCCACTTCACCTGAAGTCCCCCACCGGCGCTCCTGGCTCCTCCTCTTTGCCCAGTGCCATCAATGGCAACTGCTTTCTATGGGGGCTCGCTCCCGAGCCACTCTCTATGCATCCATAAGACACACAGAGCCGCAGCTCGGCCCCGCCCCCCAACTCTCTTCTCAGTGGCTGTGATTGACAGCAGTGGGTGTCAATGGCCAATGGCTCCCACTGCTGTGTCTCAGCCAATGAGGAGAGGGAGGGAGCCAATGAGGAGAGCCTTGGCTCAGCCCTGCTCTTCGCCCTCTCCTCACTGGCTGTGACTGCCAGCAGTGGGAGTCAATGGCTCCCACCACCACTGCGTCTCAGCCAATGAGGAGAGGAAGAGGAAGGGAGCCAATGAGGAGAGCTGTGGCTAGGCACTACTCCCTGCTCTCTCCTCACCAGCCACTGTGTCTCAGCCAATGAGGAGAGGGAGAGGTAGGGAACCAATGAGGAGAGCCACAGCTAGGCCCTGCTCCCCGCCCTCTCACCACCAGCTGTGACAGCAGTGAGAGCCAATGGCTCCTACTGCTGTGTCTCAGCCAATGGGGAGAGGGAGGGAGCCAATGAGGAGAGCCACGGCTCAACCCTGCTCCTAGCCCTCTCTTCACTGGCTGTGATTGACAGCAGTGGGAACCAATGGCTTTCACAGCTGTGTCTCAGCCAATGAGGAGAAGGAGAGGGAGAGGGAGGGAGCCAATGAGGAGAGCCACAACTAGGCCCTGCCCCCCCCCCCGGCTGTGACTGACAGCAGTGGGAGCCATTGGCTCCTACTGCTGTGTCTCAGCCAATGGAGATAGGGAGGGAGCCAATGAGGAGAGCCACGACTCAACCCCGCGCCTCACCCTCTCCTCACTGGCTGTGATTGACAGCAGTGGGAGCCAATGGCCAATGAGGAGAGGGAGAGGCAGGGAGCCAATGAGGAGAGCCGTGGCTAGGCCCTGCTCCTTGCTCTCTCCTCACCAGCTGTGACTGACAGCACCGGCTGAGACTGACAGCAGTGGGAGCCAATGGTTCCCACTGCTGTGTCTCAGCCAATGGGGAGAGGGAGAGGGAGCCAATGAGGAGGGCCGCGGCTCATCATTTTTTATTATCAATCAGCTGCTGCACTTTGTGGGCTCTAGAGGAAAGTGGCAGGGTCTGCATCCTTTTTTGTGTTTTTTTGCCTACTTGTATCTTAGTGCAGACTTCTGGGAAAATCAGTGAGCCAATCAAACAAGCAGGAAAGGACATTTCTGGGGAGGGGGAGGGGGGGGGGGGTGTTCTGTATACCCTCTGTGTACAGAATGCCTCCAGACTATTAATATCAGCCGCAGATTGAAAAGGAAAGTTCATTTTTAAGAACATTCAATTGCATTTGTGTTGCCATTTTTTTTATTTGCAATATTATTTTTTTCCCGTGGAAGCGGAGTTACCCTTTATGTCCTTGGGAAAGTAACGTGGAAGATCTTCCATTGGTCTGAGACAGAGCCGGTACCCTTGGATTTGCAAGGAGTTTAGTAAGCTGAGGAGGGTTACTGTAGGCAGACGACAATTTACGGGCCGATCTCTCACTGTGAACAATGGGCGGGAGGGATCTCCACTTACTTCTTGGGAACACAAATCCCCAGGATACAAGGAGGCTTTTCTTCCCACCAGCACAATGCCGGGCACTCGAGATGAAGGCCTTATCCGCTTTTCCTGCACAGAATGAAGAACATAATTAGTTGGCCGCAGATATTTACTATCATATCACAAAATCTCTGCAGGTTATAACAGTCGCTTGGAACACTCAGCACTATTAGCACTCCGCTGTTAACCCTTCTGCAGCCCAAAGCTCAGACCTTCAGAATGTTTATCATTTATATCGGGGGAGTTCAACCTTCTAACCTCCCGGGGGGTCTAACTAATCAATGTTTTTGAATGTCAAAGCGGTACATTGTTTTAGTTTTGCATGGAAATATGTTGTTTTTTATTGTAGTCCTTTAATTTTTAGGAATAACTCACTGAAATCTGTCCGGACAAGAGTCTAGTAAACATCCCGGCGAGGATAAAGTTTGAAATACGAAATCATTAATTATAAAATACCGTATTATCCGCTCAATAAGACGCACCTAGGCTGTAGAGGAGAAAAACAAGAAAAAAAATATTCTGAACCAATGGACTGCAGACACAGTACAGGGGATGACCAGAGACTGCGGACATAGTACAGGAGATGACCAGAGACTGCAGACACAGTACAGGAGATGACCAGAGACTGCAGACACAGTACAGGGGATGACCAGAGACTGCGGACATAGTACAGGAGATGGCCAGAGACTGCGGGCACGGTACAGGGGATGGCCAGAGACTGCGGACATAGTACAGGAGATGACCAGAGACTGCAGACACAGTACAGGAAATGACCAGAGACTGCAGACATAGTACAGGGGATGGCCAGAGACTGCGGACATAGTACAGGAGATGACCAGAGACTGCGGACATAGTACAGGAGATGACCAGAGACTGCGGACAGTACAGGAGATGACCAGAGACTGCGGACATAGTACAGGAGATGACCGGAGACTGCGGACAGTACAGGAGATGACCAGAGACTGCGGACACAGTACAGGAGATGACCAGAGACTTCAGACACAGTACAGGGGATGACCAGAGACTGCAGACAAAGTACAGGAGATGACCAGAGACTGCGGACAAAGTACAGGGGATGGCCAGAGACTGCAGACATAGTACAGGAGATGACCAGAGACTGCGGACACAGTACAGGGGATGACCAGAGACTGCGGACACAGTACAGGGGATGACCAGAGACTGCGGACACAGTACAGGAGATGACCAGAGACTGCAGACATAGTACAGGGGATGACCAGAGACTGCGGACACAGTACAGGAGACGACCAGAGACTGCGGACACAGTACAGGGGATGACCAGAGACTGCGGACACAGTACAGGAGATGACCAGAGACTGCAGACATAGTACAGGGGATGACCAGAGACTGCGGACACAGTACAGGGATGACCAGAGACTGCAGACAAAAACACTGAAATGTGAAATAGAGCGCCAAGTTCGCACATCGCTGAGCTCAGTCGCAGAATCGTTTTCAGTGTCTGATGAGGAATTTCCCCCACCAATCATTATCACTCAATTCTGCAAGTGGTTCTGATTTACTATCGCTGTTCTCTAGCCGGTCTAAAACCGCGTCTGACCTAAATGGACGCTTTTTGGACGCCATGGACGTTTCTCAGTTTCCAGGCAGAAAGGGCGGTAAAAATGCAGGCAGGGCGCCGGACAAAGCACTCGGGACACAATGTATGTGAAATGGTTAGATACAGGAATGGAATCCTAACAGATTACAATGTATTGTATGTATGTCAAATTTTCACTTTTTTGAATCTCCCGCCGGTTGCGCCCCCCGTACGTCCCGACGCTCGCAGGGAATGGAACCCGGAAGACGGATGTCGATCCACTGGAGTGTTGGCTATCCCAAGACTCCCTCTCCTCATTGGCTGCAACAGGAAGAAGTGTCAGCCGCACACCGGAGGATAGATGAATATTGATTGATCCTTAGGACACACAGAACACCAGGACATGACTACAGGACCTGTTAACGCGTTTCACATGACATCCTCATTGCTTGAGACAGAAGCGGGTGCCATTGGCTCCTGCTATGGTCAATCACAGCCAGTAAGCCAATGAGAAGAGAGAAGGGGCCAAGCTGCGGCTCCGTGAATGAATGGACAACACAGAGCAGCGGCTGGGGAGTGCATATGGTCGGGTGTTCCCCATAGCAAGCTGCTTGCTGTGGGGACACCTGACAGGAGGGAGGGGCCAGGAGCACAAGCGGGGGACCCAATAAGAGGAGGATTCAGGCTGCTCTGCGCAAAACCACTGCACACAGCAGGTAAGGATAGACATGTTTGGTATTTGACCCCTCGCCCTCCTGAGGATTTACCCCCCTTAATGACCACGCCTCTTTTTGCTACTCGGCGCTACACTAATTCAACTGATAATTGCGCGGTCATGCAATGCTGCACCCAAACGAAATTGACGTCCTTTTTTTCACACAATTAGAGCTTTCTTTCGATGGTATTTGATCATCTGTGCGCTTTTTATTTGTCACGCTATAAACAAAAAAACACCAAAAATTTTGAAGAAAAACGAAATTGTTTACTTTCAGCTATAGAAAATATATAGTAAACTCAAAGTTAGTTATAAATTTAGGCCAAAATGTCTCCTGCTCCATGTTTTTGGTGAAAAAATCCCAATAAGTGTATATTGATTGCTTTGTGTGACAGTTATAGCGTCTACAAACTATGGGATAGATACTGCAATTTACGCCATTTGTTTGCTATACAGCGCTGCGCTAGTTTAATGGACAATTGCGCGGTCATGCAATACGGTACATAAATTAAATTTACATCCTTTTTTTCCTACAACTTTCTTTCGGTGGTATTTGATTGCCTGTGCGTTTTTTTATTTTATGCGCTATAAAAAAAAAAGTCTGACAATTTTGAGGAAAAAAAAAAACAATATTTTGGACTTTTTGCTATAAAACATGTCCAGTAAAAAAAATTTAAAAATCAAAATGCATTCTGCGACATGTCTTTGCTACAAAAACCCAAAACGTGGAAATTAATTGGTTTACGTGAAAGTTATAGCGTTTACAAATGGCGGGAAAGATACTGGGATTTTTAATTTTTTTTTTTTACTAATAATGGCGGCGATCAGCGACTTAGGGCGGGACTGCGGCGGACATTCTGACACTGGGGGGGGGGGGGGGGGACGGGACTGACTTGGGGTCACTGACATCCCCAGTGACACCAATACAAAAAAAAAACAGACACTGTACTAATGGCACTGGGGAGGAAGGGGTTAAGTTTATTATTCAGTGAAAGGGTTAACTGTGTGAGGGGAGTGTTTTACTAGGGGGCGGGTCTGTGTGAGGGGGAGTGTTTTACTTGGGGGGGGTGTGTACTGCAGGGGGGACAGCTGATCGGGAGAGATAAACTCTTCTCTCTGGCTCAGCATGTCAGAAGCTGTCAGGGAACTGACAGAAAGTACAGCTACTGCACCTGTGCTCTCTGTCACTGATTGCCGCCAATCGCTGGGACACAGCCGGTAAAGACCGGCGACTGACATCCGCGGCTGTGATCAGTGGGACAGGTAGGGCGGTGGCGCGCCTCACGCGTGCCCCATACATTTTTGAAAACACACGTTTAAAAACGTGGTTTTGCCCAGTCATGCCGCCCTATTTGTATCTGGGCGGCATGTGGTTAAGATAAAAAAAAAAAAATTAAGCCTTTAGAATCATTTTAATGCGGAGTTCCCCTCACTCTGTAAAAAAATAAAAGTCAGCAGCTACAAAAACTGTAGCTGCTGACTTTTAAAAAACAGCCACTTACCTGTCCCATGATCCCGTGTCACCCCCCGCCGCAGTCCGTTTCACCGGCCGTCCTCTATTCCAGGCGCCGGCATCTTAAGTGTGGGCACCCGGCTGTGACAGCTGGGTGCCCACTGCGCATGTGTGAGTAGCGCTGCGCTTCCTGAATGGCCCCGTCATCTTCTGGGACCAGTCACGTGTCCCACAAGACTTCGGGAAGGGAGGGTAGGAGGACAACTTCCGTTTCCGATCGCCCAGGCGATCGCAGAGGAAGTGGGAGCGGGTACCTGTCAAATTTGGGTACCCGTTTCCCCCCCCCCCCCCTCCCCAAAGGTGCCAATCCAGTCTTTAAAGAACTTCCCCTTTTGGGTGGAACTCCGCTTTAAGTGACTTGGTAACCATTCGCAGGCCACAATGAAGTGAAATGCTTCAGAATTTCAAATATTTTATTTTGAATAGCATAATGAACATTTTCCTCCTGCAGCTGCTGAATGCCAGCAGGAGGGAGAGGAGGAAAAACTGGCTATCAGTGGTTGCAGGAGGAAAATGGAGAGGATCGGTTACTGTATTTGCTGTCCCTCCTGTTCAAGTGTGAAACAGAACATGACAGGAAGGCCGCACAGGACCCCCAGGAGAATGGGTTGCCATTGTGACTCCTGATGCTACACCAATGATTGGAAACATGTCTCAACTATGGGGGTCTACCAGCCCCCAAACTGCAAATGTAAATGAGCCTTACTGTCCTGAGCCCCGTATAAGGCTGCTTTCACACTAATGCGCTACGGTTAACCTGCACCATGGGTTCACCGTGTGGTTCACCTGCACCATGGGTTCACCGTGTGGTTCACCTGCACCATGGGTTCACCGTGCGGTTCACCTGCACCATGGGTTCACCATGCGGTTCACCTGCACCAAGGGTTCACCTGCACCAAGGGTTCACCGTGTGGTTCACCTGCACCATGGGTTCACCGTGCGGTTCATCTGCACCATGGGTTCACCATGCGGTTCACCGTGCGGTTCACCAGCACCAAGGGTTTATTGTGTGGTTCACCTGCACCATGGGTTCACCGTGCGGTTCACCTGCACCATGGGTTCACCTGCACCAAGGGTTCATCGTGCGGTTCACCTGCACCAAGGGTTTACCGTGCGGTTCACCTGCACCATGGGTTCACCGTGCGGTTCACCTGCACCAAGGGTTTACCGTGCGGTTCACCTGCACCATGGGTTCACCGTGCGGTTCACCTGCAGCAAGGGTTCACCGTGCGGTTCACCTGCACCAAGGGTTCACCGTGCGGTTCACCTGCACCAAGGGTTCACCGTGCGGTTCACCTGCACCAAGGGTTTACCGTGCGGTTCACCTGCACCATGGGTTCACCGTGCGGTTCACCTGCACCATGGGTTCACCGTGCGATTCACCTGCACCATGGGTTCACCGTGCGGTTCACCTGCACCATGGGTTCACCGTGCGGGGTTCACCTGCACCAAGGATTCACCTGCACCATGGGTTCACCGTGCGGTTCACCTGCATCAAGGGTTTCACCGTGCGGTTCACCTGCACCAAGAGTTTACCGTGCGGTTCACCTGTACCATGGGTTCACCTGCACCAAGGGTTCACCGTGCGGTTCACCTGCACCAAGGGTTCATCGTGCGGTTCACCTGCACCAAGGGTTTACTGTGCGGTTCCCCTGCACCATGGGTTCACCGTGCAGTTCACCTGCACCAAGGGTTCACCTGCACCATGGGTTCACCGTGCAGTTCACCTGCACCAAGGGTTCACCTGCACCGCAATGCACTTACGACTTTCCTGTGGGTTACCTCTGCCATAGGCTTCTATTATATCTTGTGGCTGTGATGTATTTACTGAAAGCCCACCAAACCCACAGGATATAATAGAAGTCTACGGTTCAATGCAGCCAATCCACAGGAAAGCACTGCACAGCACCTGAGGATTAGTGTGAAAGCAGCCGAATAGTTGTTAGCCCTTTTATACACTCACCACTTTATTGGGTCCACCTGTTCAATTGCTTGGTAAAGCAAATTGCTAATCAGCCAATCACATGGCTGCAATTCAAGGCATTTAGGCATCTAGACGTGGTGAAGACGACTTGCTGAAGTTCAAACCAAGCATCAGAATGGGGAAGAAAGGGGATTTAAGAGACTTGAGTGTGGCATGGTTTTTGGTGCCTGATGGGCTGGTCAGAGTATTTCAAAAACTGCTCTACTGGGATTTTCACACACAACCATATCCAAGGTTTACAGAGAATGGTCCGAAAAAGAGAAAATATTCAGTGAGCGGCAGTTGTGTAGAGGAAAATGCCTTGTTGTGGTCAAAGAAGAATGGGCAGACTGGATCGAAATTATAGAAAGGCTACTGGGATTTTCACGCACAGCCATCTCTAGGGTTTACAGAGAATGGTCCAAAAAGAGAAAAATATCCAGTGAGTAGCAGTTGTGTTGAGGAAAATGCTTTGTTTGATGTCAGAGGAGAATGGGCAGA